TTAGATAGTACTTATAGTAACGATATCCCTATCTTACAGTTAAAAAGAATTTGGTATTATTGAATTTGGCCCAACCGGAAAAGGGTTTGTATTTATGTTGTTAAAGCTTTAATTAGCCATCCTAGGCCTAATACATGCTATCTGAGGCATAATTTAGTACATGTAATATATCTAAGTCCAGGAATATTCAAGTATATCCAAGATGTACTAGGTCTAGGAATATTTAAATTTGGATGTAGCTTAACATTTCCCGAACTCATCAGAAGTCTACATATTGTAACTGTGTGGACAAGTGCGAGGGTCCACATGGCTACAAAAAGTACTATTTAAACAGAAGAATGGCTTTGTTGTTGGTAGAGGGGCGGGGACGAACGAGGGATCGTCCTCACCGGCTGTACCCCTGGACCGAGGGATCGCCCTAGCCTGTACCCCTGGACCGAGGGATCGCCCTAGCCTGTACCCATGGAACAAGGGATCGCCCTAGGCTTTACCCCATGGATCGAGGGCTTCCCCTTAGCTTTACCCATGTCGTGCCGGTGACGTGTGACGCCATTATGACGTCACGCGGTCCACGCCGGGACAGGGCTTATAGAGCGTGGTGGTGTTGTAGTGTCTTGTGGCGGGACATGGCGACCACGCGGCTAGGCTACCACTGCATAATGATTTTCCTTGCTAGCGTCGGGGCACGCAAGGTTAACTTATTCATTACACACCAGCACCAGGGACAGAAGGGTGGCGAGCCTGCACGAAAATAATGATACAGGTTTATAATATATTTATCTAGGGATGAAATAATATCCTCAGTCAGGGTAAATCTGTGCAAACACTCCATGCAAACTGAAGGGTCCAGTCTTTGGAACTCGCTCCCTGATGAATTAAAAACAAAAATATATTAAAAAGTAAAACCAAAACGAATCTAATTTCATCTTCATAGATTTCTACCTTGTACTTCAAACTTACATTGTATCTTGTACTGCCGACTTCCCCAATATTAGTACTTATGACTAAGTACTTCATCTTTACCAGTGTATAATCACCTTGTCAATTTGTTGATATAAAACCTCGCTACAATGTACTCTCACTTTGCCCGATATGTTAGATTAAGGATTTGCCTGAAACTGCGCGCGTGTTAGTGGCTTTGCAAGAATGTAAAAATATCACTTATGTAATCTCACCAATCCACTTTGCCTTCTTGTAAATAAATTATTATTATTATTGAACAAATCCACAAGGGCCGTGACGACGACTCGAACCTGCGTCCGAGATGATCCCAGACGCTGCCTGACTGAGCTACGACATGGTCAAAAGAGTTGAAACCGAAGTTCTACTGAACTTACTGGATCCTGCAGCCTCTCCGAGACACAAACCAGGGTTTTACACAACTCCCCCATGCACTCGAGCTATGTCAATAGGCCGTTCTACCTCTTTGCCCCTACTTCATTACACACAGAAATCACAATAGCGTGATGCATCAATGAACAAATCCACAAGGGCCATGACGAGGATTCGAAGCTGCTTCCGAGAGCATCCCAGACGCTCGAGTGCATGGGTGTAACACTGTAAAAGTGTTTGGTTTAGTTTAATACATATATAGAGTACATGAGTCACAGACAAGGATCTGAGAGGCGCCAGTTGTCTGCCTGAGATCTCACACCTCAAAGCGTTAATGACCTCAAGTGACCTGAGGTCAGATCATGAGAATTTCACCTTGCTTCCACTAAGCTTATAATTGTAGTCTGGTAGCCTTCAAACATGCCGACGTTTAAGGAGTGGCTTGGTAGTGCCGGAGGCTATCTACTTGTGGGCGGAGTTAACTACTAGGGTCCCCAATATATACTGAGGGAGCATAGAGCATTAAGCATTAACAGACAGAACAGCAGACGAGCCAGGAGAGCAGAGAAGACAGCCCTACCAGGGAGGCTGTCGGCCGGCAGGGCAGGAGTCTCTGTCCACTACAGACCCCCCCCCCCTCTCTATTCAACTTAGACTCAGTCCTCGGTGAGTGAACATTTAGGTGACTTGGTCGTGTTTTACAAGTGTTGTGTGATGATCAGGGGCAGACAAGTTGTAGGGTTCTCGAATTCTTGGATGATGACTCACTTTGCATATTAAACTGGAACATTTTAATTGGATTGCTTAAGTTATGATACTTATCATGAAAAATATAATTGTTGAATTTATTATTTAAATGGACTTTATTTTGTTCCCTAGAGATTTTGAGTTGAGGTGAGAAAGCCTCTGTGGTTACTGGTTTCATGATATTAACGAGTACATGTTTGGAGTTGATACATGGTAATAACATCTTTTGAGAATATTTTGATACAGACAAGTTCCATTCCTTGTCTTGTATGTAATGATCATGAATGGATGGTGGCAGCATTTCGTCTTCTACTATCTACTCTTCTACGTCTACTTTCTACTCTTCTACTACTACCTATCTATTCCTCTCCCTCCACCCCTCTCTAAACTCTCACTTTCAGCTAATGACCCTCCTCGCTCCTCCCACCTCTACCTCTCTCACCCCAAACCCTCACTAATTACTTCACTATGCATTCCTTTCCTTTCGTTTTCTCGTATACGTTTGTGGCAATGATTCTGTATTCTAGAGTTCTCTCTAGAGTTTCGGGTAGCTGGTCCAGTTACGGCTCCTTGTAGTCTTAGCACCTAGGTAGTCAAATACCTAGGTTACAAGGTGTTGAACGAGAGAGGTTGCCTTAGGAACTCTGGGAGTGCTCTAGAATAGTTAGCTAACTGAGGACGGGATAACGGACTAGAGAGAGCTGTTTCCCCCGGCCTCGTTAGTTAACTGGGGGGTGGAATAATGGACAAGATAGAGCTATTTCCCCCACCCCCCATTACATGGGGGAGTTGTGTAAAATCCTGGTTTGTATCTCTGAGAGACTGCAGGATCCAGTAAGTTCAGTAGAACTTCGGTTTCAACTCTTTTGACCATGTCGTAGCTCAGTCGATTAAGGCAGCGTCTGGGATAATCTCGGACGCAGGTTCGAATCCTCGTCACGGCCCTTGTGGATTTGTTCATTGATGCATCACGCTATTGTGATTTCTGTGTATTATTATTATTATTATTATAATAGGTTGTGGTGAGAATTATTGCTATGGTGTGTGTGACGGGGGGGGGGGGCCTCCACCTCCTAATATTACTCTAGTATTTGTCCCTCCTCCCAGTCGTTATTAAATTATTCAACCGAACCTCCTGTTTTGGTAGTACTTACACTAACTATGAGAACAATAGTACATATATCGACGTACAACGTAATTAGAAAATAGGAATATGTACTATTGAATTTGGACAAACGGGAAAAACTTGTATTTATGTAGCTAAGACAACCTAACCTAACCTAACCCTCCTAGGCCACCATAACACGCCATCTGACTCCTAACAGTACATGTGTGTGCTATACTACGTCTAGGAATATTTAAGTTTTTTAGCTTCATTTTTTCGGACTATAAAGTCAATAGTACGAAATTCTATCTAATTGCTTAGCTTAGAACTTAGTGCCTTAGCTTACCTGATCAACCAGGCTGTGACTCATACGTCAGGCTGCGAGCAGCCGCGTCCAACAGCCTGGTTGATCAGTCCAGCAACCAGGACGCCTGGTCGACGACCGGGCCGCGGGGACGCTAAGCCCCGGAAGCACCTCAAAGTAATCTCAAGGTAAGGTAGAATGATAACGTTTGTACTATGGTGCGCATAGTTAAACTATCTAAACAGATTGATTGATTGATGAAGATTAAGCCACCCAAAAGGTGGCACGGGCATGAATAGCCCGTAAGTGTTGGCCCTTTTGAGCCATTACCAGTATCAAGAGCTGATACTGGAGATCTGTGGAGGTGCGACTGTACCCTGCGTGACGGGAGATATCTCCCAGACCAAATGGTGACCAAATGGTGCTATCTAAACAGATTGATTGATTGATTGATAAAGATTAAGCCACCCAAGAGGTGGCACGGGCATGAATAGCCCGTAAAACACTATAGCCCGTATCTAAACAGGAGGATGGGTTGTTTTATAGTATGGGGGTCGTTCCTCCCCTCATCCCCTAGTATTACTATAGTACGGAGACCCTCCATAATGCTCCCCCCCCTCCTTCCCAACACCACAACTCTCATTCCTCCAAACATTCTCACCCCCCTTCTCCGCCCCCATGACTGTGATGGACGAGTATATAATCTTTCGCCAAGTTGTAGGTTTCATGCATTATGTTCCTAATGTTAGGAACATAATGTATGAACATGAGGTTAGGAACACCTAACCCCCGGTGTTCCTAATGTTAGGAACATAATGTATGAACATGAGGTTACGAACACCTAACCCCCGGTGTTCCTAATGTTAGGAACATAATGTATGAACATGAGGTTACGAACACCTAACCCCCGGTGTTCCTAATGTTAGGAACATAATGTATGAACATGAGGTTACGAACACCTAACCCCCGGTGTTCCTAATGTTAGGAACATAATGTATGAACATGAGGTTAGGAACACCTAACTCCCGGTGTTCCTAATGTTAGGAACATAATGTATGAATATGAGGTTAGGAACACCTAACCCCCGGTGTTCCTAATGTTAGGAACATAATGTATGAACATGAGGTTAGGAACACCTAACCCCCGGTGTTCCTAATGTTAGGAACATAATGTATGAACATGAGGTTAGGAACACCTAACCCCCGGTGTTCCTAATGTTAGGAACATGATGTATGAACATGAGGTTAGGAACACCTAACCCCCGGTGTTCCTTGCATCGCGTCACGCAACCATTCATCTAAGCTAGGACAAAATCAGTGGAACCAGAATACTCAGTGTTAAGTGCTAACATTTTCCACGATTTCCCCTTTTTCTCCCTCACGTCTGTGCCTTCAGACACAGGTGTGTCTGAAGGCACAGTCTGAACGGTCAGAAGGGCACGGTCTGAAGGCTGCCCTTACCCTGATGGGAGGAGGGGGGGTAACGGGAGGTACTAATAGTGACTGTACTCACCCTTGAAGGGGTAGGAGCAGGTGACGATGGTGAAAAGGGTGTACACACTCCCGGACACCACCACAACCAAGAGGGCAAACACCATCATCCTGGATTGCTTCATTGTAAACAGTTGATGGTGGAAGAGGCAGGATATGGTCAGAGGTGCTGTTCAGCGTCGGTGTTCCCGTCGTCTGCTCAAGCTGGCCGAAGATGGTCTGCTTGCTCAAGCTGGCCGAAGATGGTCTGCTAGCTCAAGCTGGCCGAAGATGGTCTGCTAGCTCAAGCTGGCCGAAGATGGTCTGCTAGCTCAAGCTGGCCGAAGATGGTCTGCTAGCTCAAGCTGGCCGAAGATGGTCTGCTAGCTCAAGCTGGCCGAAGATGGTCTGCTAGCTCAAGCTGGCCGAAGATGGTCTGCTCAAGCTGGTAGTAAAACTGGAGATGCTGATGCAGCCGCTTGAACACCTACCACTGGGTCTCCTACACCTCTTAAGTGAACTCTTGGGCAATCTGGACTTATTACACAATAGTTGATGAATGTAACTCGGTAAAAGGTACAAAGATTTCTTACCATGCCTTGGATGGTTCGTTCACTCGGTATGCTATACCTATCCTACGGGCGAGGGCTGGCAAGGGTGGAGGAATAGAGTTGGTTTCAGAGGCTAGAGACGATGGTTCCTGAAGCTTATGTTAGTATACAGACGTCGTCGTCTTGTGGTACCTTACACTCGTCTTGAGAACGCCAAGAGCCTGGTAAACTGAGGCTGAAGTTGGCTAGATTAATGGCAACAGTTGAGGCGTGTAGAAGTGCTTAAGGCTCTGTGGTAGGGGGTAAGGCTCTGTGGTAGGGGGTAAGGCTCTGTGGTAGGGGGTAAGGCTCTATGTACTTCACTGAGTGGGTAATTACGTCTGTAATTAGCCTGATTTAAAGCCACTTCTATGGACGGGTTCAATATCGTTTGTGGCTGATGTCGACGTACACAGGTGAAGCAGAGAGGGGGTGATGTCTGCTGGGGTCAAGACGTTGACAACGCACACGGGTGAGGGCTGCTGGGGGTCAAGACGTTGACGACGCACACGGGTGAGGTCTGCTGGGGGTCAAGACGTTGACGACGCACACGGGTGATGTCTGCTGGGGTCAAGACGTTGACGACGCACACGGGTGATGTCTGCTGGGGTCAAAACGTTGACGACGCACACGGGTGAGGTCTGCTGGGGGTCAAGACGTTGACAACGCACACGGGTGAGGTCTGCTGGGGGTCAAGACGTTGACAACGCACACGGGTGAGGTCTGCTGGGGGTCAAGACGTTGACAACGCACACGGGTGAGGTCTGCTGGGGGTCAAGACGTTGACAACGCACACGGGTGAGGTCTGCTGGGGGTCAAGACGTTGACAACGCACACGGGTGAGGTCTGCTGGGGGTCAAGACACTATCGCCAGACAAATAGGGAAGCGTCCGTCTAAGTGTCTCACCGTCTAAGCGTCCGTCTCAAACTCCCTTACTCCTCCTCCTTGGCGTACTGCTCCCTACAATCTTCCAATACTCGTGTGGCCTCTTATAGAATGATCTGGTTACTTTTCACAGACGTGTGTGTGCGTGTGTGGCTGTCACCCTTCACCAACAGCTCCAATGCACATTCCTGCAAGCAAAAAATATAAAAACATTAAAAAAATTGTTTTTTTTTGTCAAAGGGAATTCAATATTTTTAATTTTCTTAATTGGTGGCGCCCGCCACCTGACCAGCGCTACTAGTTCAAGTAACCTGGGAAGCGCCTCTTAAACACAGGTGCGCTCCTGTGCCAGGTAAGTCCACAACGGGCTCACCATAGCCCGTGCTACTTGGAACTTATTGTTCCAAGTAGCGAATCTTAAACAACAACAGCCTCTTACAACCCCCCCCCCCCCCCACCCCCAGGAGTTACAGCCCCGCTCCTGTGCCAGGTAATCATCTTGAGATGATTTCGGGGCTTAGTGTCCCTGCGGCCCGGTCCTCGACTAGGCCTCCACCCCCAGGAAGCAGCTGACCAACTCCCAGGTATCTATTTACTGCTAAGTAACAGGGGCATCAGGGTGAAAGAAACTCTGCCCATTGTTTCTCGCCCGGGATCGAACCCGGAACCACAGGATCACGCGTCCTGTGTTCTGTCCGCTTCAGCCACGGGCTCACCATAGCCCGTGCTACTTTGGAACTTTTGTTCTAAGTAGCTGAATCTAAAACAACGACAACAGCCTCTACCCTTGTGTTTCCACGAGCTCTTCTTGTCACTACACAGAGATCACACTAACGTGATGCATTTCAACGTGATGGTTTCAACTCTTTTTACCCTGTCGTAGCTCAGTCGATTAAGGCAGTGTCTGGGATGCTCCCGGACGCAGGTTCGAATCCTCGTTACGGCCCTTGTGGATTTATTATTAACATCTTTATTGACAAAATTAATTACAATTTTGCCTAATCTGAGGATTTTTATAAAGTCTTATTTGCTCTTCTTCTTGTCATCGTCACCACCATAATGTCCACTTCTCGTGTCCGCGTACGATATCTCTACATTTTTCCTATAATAAATGCAAACTATACCGCCATTGTAAACAGTTTACGAGGTATAAGGCTATATGAGTTTGTCTATAAAATCATCATCTTGGGTCGCAATGTTTCCAACCTCAAACTGTTTTATTAAACAGACTAAGCCACCGTGACTGAGGAAAGATGTACAGGTTTCGTAAGTGGCCCCGTAAATGTGTGATAAATCTTAGCCCAGAGTCGTGTGCTCCTTACAATAACTTATCATCAATATCTATTTTAGATTCCATTATAAAATGACGCAGACAATTGTGCTGTACAAGTCATTCATTTCCATACAATATATTCTGCTATATTAAACCATCTGTCAACAATGACGCAAGAGAACCATCCACAGCATCAAGAAAAACAAAATACTGGCGAAAACTAATATTGAGAGAAGTAATTAGCGGGGCATAAAGTTACCTGGACAGGCTCATGGTTCAAGGTAATGGAGTCTATTAAAGCTCTTGGGATTTGCTGGTGTAAAACATATGGAACAACGAACAAATCCACAAGGGCCGTGACGAGGATTCGAACCTGCGTCCGGGAGCATCCCAGACACTGCCTTAATCGACTGAGCTACGACAGGGTAAAAGGGTTGAAACCGAAGATTAAGGCAGTGTCTGGGATGCTCCCGGACGCAGGTTCGAATCCTCGTCACGGCCCTTGTGGATTTGTTCATTTGATGCATCACGTTAGTGTGATCTCTGTGTGTGATATGGAACAACATTGGTTGCGAATTGGCAAGTACTATGTGGGAATATAATAGTAGCTACGAATATGTTGTCAAATAGGAAATTAACAATATTTCAGAAGGCTGTAATAATTTTGCAATAATCAATTGCAAAATTTTGTCTAAAGTGTGGCATTTGTCTCGCAGCTTTCCAATTGACAATCAATCAAATGATGTAGGTGTTTCATTAGCAGTGACAGAGAATACTTAAACAAATATCTAATGAAGATCTCACCGACCTAACAAATTCACAAAGACCTGAAAGTTGTAGCATTAAATATTATGATAGATATCGTGAGGAGACATTCACATATGGGACTAATAGAACAAGAACCCGGCAATGTGATGTTATAGTGGCCAGAATACGCCTGGGATATAGACGTATCTGGCAGCTTTCTCAAAACCCAAATGTCGAGTACACAATGTGTCAACTTTGTGAAAGAGAAAACATGCACTCTCTTGAACATTATATTGTAGAATGTCCCATATTGACTGACTTTCGCCCTCCTGGGCTAAGGTATGCTGAACTGTGTAATTACTATATGAGTACTGGAACACTTGATATATTGGACTTGTACCCAAGATTGACCATGTAATGTATCAATTATACAATGTATGTGATGTAACTATATAACCTGAGCTTGTAAAAGCACCTTAATCATCTTCAGTGATTAAGTGCTTAATTGCACACTAGTTTCTCTATCAGCTATCTCACCCTGTCAGAGTAAGAGAGACAAATGTATGTGAATGCATGTCTGTATATATATGTATATATGTATATGTACGTATACGTGTGTGTGTATGTATAAAGTATATATGGAAGCTGATCAGAATTACATCTCACCTTTGTAAATGCACATAAATGACACTATGTAAAAGACACATCGAACACTTTATGTAGGGCACACGTAAATCTGTGTATCTATGTATTTACGTATGTAGGTTAGCTTAGCATTTTAAAAGCACCGAATCACCTGTGGTTGATTGTTCAATAAACCCTTGAACTATATGTTTAACACATCTCTAACCCTGTCCATGGAGGACAGAAGAAAATGTATATATGCTGGTTAGCATTGTTAATGTTTGGCCACGTCTGTGGTAGAACAAAAAATCCTTTATGTGGACCAAGTATTAGAGTGGAGTTAATGAGGGTTTTAACGTTTCATATTGACATTAAATGTAAGAAAATTAAGAATACAATAATTATGCTACTTTCTGATTACATTTTTTGTGTGTGGATAGGCAGGCAGGAGGGTTACTGTGTGTGGATAGGCAAGCAGGAGGGTTACTGTGTGTGGATAGGCAAGCAGGAGGGTTACTGTGTGTGGATAGGCAAGCAGGAGGGTTACTGTGTGTGGATAGGCAGGCAGGAGGGTTACTGTGTGTGGATAGGCAAGCAGGAGGGTTACTGTGTGTGGATAGGCAGGCAGGAGGGTTACTGTGTGTGGATAGGCAGGCAGGAGGGTTACTGTGTGTGGATAGGCAGGCAGGAGGGTTACTGTGTGTGGATAGGCAGGCAGGAGGGTTACTGTGTATGGATAGGCAGGCAGGAGGGTTACTGTGTGTGGATAGGCAGGCAGGAGGGTTACTGTGTGTGGATAGGCAGGCAGGAGGGTTACTGTGTGTGGATAGGCAGGCAGGAGGGTTACTGTGTGTGGATAGGCAGGCAGGAGGGTTACTGTGTGTGGATAGGCAGGCAGGAGGGTTACTGTGTATGGATAGGCAGGCAGGAGGGTTACTGTGTGTGGATAGGCAGGCAGGAGGGTTACTGTGTGTGGATAGGCAGGCAGGAGGGTTACTGTGTGTGGATAGGCAGGCAGGAGGGTTACTGTGTGTGGATAGGCAGGCAGGAGGGTTACTGTGTGTGGATAGGCAGGCAGGAGGGTTACTGTGTGTGGATAGGCAGGCAGGAGGGTTACTGTGTGTGGATAGGCAGGCAGGAGGGTTACTGTGTGTGGATAGGCAGGCAGGAGGGTTACTGTGTGTGGATAGGCAGGCAGGAAGGTTACTGTGTGTGGATAGGCAGGCAGGAGGGTTACTGTGTGTGGATAGGCAGGCAGGAGGGTTACTGTGTGTGGATAGGCAGGCAGGAGGGTTACTGTGTGTGGATAGGCAGGCAGGAGGGTTACTGTGTGTGGATAGGCAGGCAGGAGGGTTACTGTGTGTGGATAGGCAGGCAGGAGGGTTACTGTGTGTGGATAGGCAGGCAGGAGGGTTACTGTGTGTGGATAGGCAGGCAGGAGGGTTACTGTGTGTGGATAGGCAGGCAGGAGGGTTACTGTGTGTGGATAGGCAGGCAGGAGGGTTACTGTGTGTGGATAGGCAGGCAGGAGGGTTACTGTGTGTGGATAGGCAGGCAGGAGGGTTACTGTGTGTGGATAGGCAGGCAGGAGGGTTACTGTGTGTGGATAGGCAGGCAGGAGGGTTACTGTGTGTGGATAGGCAGGCAGGAGGGTTACTGTGTGTGGATAGGCAGGCAGGAGGGTTACTGTGTGTGGATAGGCAGGCAGGAGGGTTACTGTGTGTGGATAGGCAGGCAGGAGGCCGGGTTACTGTGTGTGGATAGGCAAGCAGGAGGGTTACTGTGTGTGGATAGGCAAGCAGGAGGGTTACTGTGTGTGGATAGGCAGGCAGGAGGGTTACTGTGTGTGGATAGGCAAGCAGGAGGGTTACTGTGTGTGGATAGGCAAGCAGGAGGGTTACTGTGTGTGGATAGGCAAGCAGGAGGGTTACTGTGTGTGGATAGGCAAGCAGGAGGGTTACTGTGTGTGGATAGGCAGGCAGGAAGGTTACTGTGTGTGGATAGGCAAGCAGGAGGTTTACTGTGTGTGGATAGGGAAGCAGGAGGGTTACTCAGACAAAATATTCCAGTTCTTGCGAGGCAGGATCAAGTATAATATTTGGGGTTTACGGCTCTTCCTGTGAGACACGGAAAATGTGTTTA